ACCCATTCAAAACTGGGAACAGCAGGATACTAAGCCCGGTGGTCTCAACTTTAACCCTGCTAAACCCAAAGTTCATATTATACCTTTTCAGCTGAATGGGATATTGGTATTAGTTTCCCATGTGATTTTTTTTTGGAAGCTTTTGCAATAAGCACTTGCTTTTTCCATCTCAGCACAGTCCTTCACTGCACAGTTAGATGATATGTACAAATATTTAACATGGTTTCATTAAATCTGTACCACAGTTTGGAGAAAACGAGCAAACACTCAATAAGAATACACAGAATTTATTATGATCTCTCCTAACCAGTTTTCTGCATTCCTTCATTTCTTATAGCTGCTACATAACACTCTATGAGTACAATCGGACTTCATGAAATACAGCTGAAATATCCTGTAAGAACAAACAGACTTGGATCCGTGTGCATTGTATTTATCAAATAGATAAATATTCCATAAATGTCCACTGGAGTTTTCTTTCTGTTCATAAACAGCTCCTCATAAATAGCAAAGCTTCTACCTGTCAACATAACTATTTGTTTAATTTGTATAGCCTTATACTTAGGTTAAAACCAAGTATTTCTAACTCCACTCAGGAGCCAGTAAACTAGAATTGGGTTATTCACAGAATAAAAGCTGGGGAAAACTCAGTTTCAACTTGAAGCTTGGTAAATCACTTCCTTCCTTGTCTCTCTTTTCCTCTTGCTACTTCCCACTTTGCCTTTAGTTCATCATTTCTGGAAGGCAGCAGTACCTCTTTGTACCTCTGCAGCACGCAGCACAGCTGTGCTCCACACACTCCGAGACCTTGAGGCACAAAACCCAACAGGGAAGAACCCATTGTGTGCTTGACAGGGTCGTATTCTGCCGTCCTGCCCCACGCTTGCACGGTGCATTATGCTGTGAGAAATCCTGCTGGAAACCACAGGGCTGTTTGCAGAACAGGGTGCTATTCAGAATGAATGAGTGTGGCAGAATTCCTCCAATTACTGACTTTTCATCAACACCTGAGAGCCTACAAGAAACAGAAAGTTCTCTGACACGTACTCCCCTGCATGAATACACACAGGGAGGGTGCACACGCTCCACCATAAAGAACCAGACCCATAAGGATGCATTCATTCCCTGTTCGCCTTCTATCCCGACGCAAAATGGAATGTATTGACATCAGGTAAATTCTCTCCCAACCACAGAATTTCAGCGCTGCACCAGTCCAGTCTGCAGCAAAGCTCTTGGCTTGTACTTCACTTTCATGCTCGATTGTATGGAGCCAGCCTATCCCCAGCGGGAGGCGTAGGTAGAGGTGAAAGCAGCGCTGGTAATAAGAGGAATAGTTCATGACTCCCAAAGACATTTTTAGCAAAGCTGACATGAGCAACAGCTACACCGAGCAGCTGCTGCCGGAGAAGACCATGAGTCAGACTTAGTTTGTGACCACAGATCTAAATCAGAACTGCCCCAGGAATTAATCCTAGAATTCCTATTCAGATAAACTACAGCACTGAGAGGATACCTAAACCAAGTTAATTCCTGCGAGACTTTAAGACCAAAAAGGGAATTCTGAATGCTTGTGCAGCACTGGCTCTGTGTTTGCTCAGGTAAGCACCACCTAAAGAAAGGGTTTTAAACCTGTGTAGTGTCTAGGTCATTTTAATATTGATTTTTTAATAGAACAAAGCATGCTGAGTAACTCAGCAGCTGCAGCAATGTGGAGCAGCAGACTCCCCCAGATGAGCAATCAAAATGCTGGTATCTTTCCCTCCTGTAGAAAAGAACTGGTCTGCTTCAAAGCTATCACCACAACCATCAACAGCTGCAGTGGGTGGGAGAAGAACAACTTGTCAGTACGTTTCCAAACTGCAAATGTATTATCTGTTTATGCTCATGAAGTGAAGCCCAAACACCCCTCTTGACATACCTGGGATCATCTCCTTTTCCTTTGCCACAGACAAGCAAGATTAAGACCAAATTCTGTAATGCTGCATGGCCCCCAGCTCAAACCTGACACCTTCCACAGCCACGCCAAAGCAAGGTTTTGGTGAAGTTGGGTGGCATGAAGAATGACCACAGAAGCAAGTTCTTTCCCTGAACCACTACGAGAGACAATCCCCAACTCATTGGAGTGGCTTGGTGATGGAGGTCTTTGTGTACTGAAGGGGATGCATCTGGCCTCAATAACCTCAGAAGAAAGGTGGATGTGGCATGACCTTCACATGTAGCATAGAACTGAAATTTCAGCTTTGAAGCAGGTAGCAATATCCTGGCTGAAGAAGAGAATCACTCACATGAGAGCAGGGACACACTAAGATCAAGAGCATACAAGAAGCTGAAGAGAGAAGCGGTACTAGGAAGAGTTTCACTTCATTAAACAGCTCTAAAGAACTGAAACAGCATGAGGAGCTCTCCTCACACATAGGCTTGTGTATGAAGAGCAGGCAGGCAGGGTGTACACCTAACTTCATACATAAAAACTGCATGCCAAGTTATTTTATCTAGCATAAAACCATTGCAAGGCTTCATGAACTACCAGGTTCTGCGCTGCTTACACACTACAGGCTTGTACTTGTCAAGGGAAAACAAAGAAATGTGATTTATTATTGTGCAACCCCAATAATCTGCTAGTGTAATTCCACTTTAATCAGAGCTAAATGAGCATGAAAACAGAGTAATGCAGGCGTGCCTCAGCCCCCACGTGTTTAAATCACCACCCTCGACCCTCATGACTACTAAATACATAATTCCTGTTGCATATCAAAGGGGTTTCCTTTGGAAACAGCTTTTAATTCCGATATATTCGCCTGACCACTTTCTGCTGTACTTGAGTTCATCTTTCACACATTCATACTTATGACACCTCTGTGTATCATCTCCATCTTCCAGGTGGGAAATTACGACAGAAAGAGCAAGGGTGATTATCTAGGTTAGTTATACTGAAATCACTGTAAGTTTGTACCATTTTACAGGTATCTGTACACCTGAATGACTTTATTCAAATCATACAAGACTGTGGACAAGAATGTGGCTCTCCCAATTCCTGTGTGTGACCATAGCCCCAGAACTGATCATCTTTTCTTACAGCAATTTGGTGAACTTGGTAGTGTTAGGTTAATGGCTGTACTCAATCTTAAAGGTCTTTTCCAACCTACATGAGTCTGTGAACTTGTAACACAACAACAGCTGATGACAGATCAAGCTGCAAGCACAAGAACTCTGCCAGCAAAATTGCTGGAAATACCAAACCATTCATCAGCTCCTGTCATAAAAGGTTTTGCCAAAACATCAGCCCTGTGTGATATTTACCCAGCCACCACCTTCCCCTCCTGCAGACCCAGCATGACTGACGCATTTGTGTTCTACAGTCTGAAGTGAGAGGCTGGGTATGAAAAATGCCTGAAGGAGGAAGCAGTTTCCTTTTCAACACCATTTTGCTCATAAATGAGCCATCTACAGGAATCAGACAAGGGTTTGTAATTTATAAAGCTCCTATTCATGTTACAAGAGCAAAACAACCAACCATGAGTGACAACTGTTTTCTTTTAAAGGTGGAGAATTATCAGCAACAGCAGGTAATACACTGTCGGTTTGTTTTTGCTGTTCCCATGCTGTTATCACTCAACCTATATTAAAACAATTTTCCTGTCATTCACCCATTACTTATGAGCCACACTTACTACAACAGTGTACAAACAAAAACCAAAAAGCAATAATTACTACTCATGTTCTTTACAAGATTGACATCTGAACTACAATAAAAGAGGACTTGCTAACAGGTAATTCAATCACCTTATACACCCATGTAATTGAAAAATTAGGTAAAAATATTACAAGTGACAGAAAAATGCCAGACTAGAATGTTTCTTTTTGTTTTGCTTATTGTACAGAGTCCATGCTGAGTTAAAAGGTCATAGATGTGACTAAGAAAACATTCTCATCACAGCCATATGTAAAAACATCCTTTTATGTTGCTGCCAAATTATGTCCCAGAAAGATTACACACCATTCTACAAATTAAAGGTGTGTCTATATATTCTATTGCCCTGTTGATGACAGACTTACCATCCTAATATCATACTCAGGAAAAGATAGTAACTTCCAGAACTCTGGTCCTGCACAGCACTTCAACAAGCTTAACTAGTTACAAAAGCTTAAATTTTGCTGGCCTGAGCATGAGTACTTCTGCACTTCCCATAGGGACCAACCATTTGGAAATCAAATACAGTGCCCTGATGCTCCATCACCTCGTTGCACTTTGCTTTATCATTTTATACCTGCATTATGAGTATTTGTAACATTAATGCTTAGAATCACTATTTTATGCCCACTCATCCCAGGTATAAAAGGGTTCAAGGCAAGGAAAGAAAATCATATCTCAACTGTATGTCTTTTAGAGCTAGTGACATGCAAATTAATCAGCTTTGAACATTTACTGTAGCAGGCACATAGGTTCCTAAAATGAACTAGAATAAGAGTACTATCACAAAGATCCTAAATCTACTCTTCCTGAGGGATAACAGGTTGAAAACCAGATTCCCCAACATCGCAGAACACAACAGACCCCATATTTCTCATTAGAATCACTGTTTAGGAAGCTCTGATAAATTAGATCTGGCTGAGAAGCAGGAAAATGTGACTCAAGAACCTAATAATCCGTTCAGTTTGTCTCAGTCGTAGTTTCTCTGTTTATTTCAGGCTTTACACAGAGCTGCCGGACTCTTTCCTAAGCAAGCTTTTGGCTAACAGAGCCTTAAGCACAGATGGGCCTCTGACCTTATTTAGCAGGGATTCTCCTGAAGGCACTGCTGTCCCATTTTATAACGTTGGATTCAAATGGTTCAATGACATGGCCATGGCACATAACCCACTTTTTTAATGCTCAGTTCATTAGCAAAGCTCATGTTTAATGAACCACAAATACATTTTGCTTAACATTTAAATCCCCTACCACTAATTATCTGTCTCAAATAGCAATGAATTATGAATAATAAAAACCGATCCGTTACCGATTTCCTCTCTTGCTTCAGCTCCTGCACATAGCGCGTTAGCTCTCCAGTGATAAGAGAGGTCATGTTCTCTGAGATGACCTCATGCTGTCCAGCATAGTCATTCATTTCATTTAAAGTGGCTAGGAAGGCTCTAGCTGATGTGTACCTGCAGAGGACAAAAATACATTTTGCTTTTAGTCCCTTTCTTTTCAGAAAGACACACTGCAAGGGGAGGCTGAATTCTTTTTCAGCAGTTAGTATTGCTTCATGAGACTGAGTATGAATTAGCACAGATTCACTTGAGGGAAGTTCTCAAACACAAGCCTACGGCACACACTGACAGCTGTCTGATAAATCTATCTTGATTTAGATAGTTTGATATTAGCTTTTACAATACCACAGTTTTAAAGTGCAAGGCTTTTCATCAGCACAGCTCTGGAACTTCACTATTCTCATCCTTATTCCACAACCATCTCTACTTATGCTCTTTCAAGCCTTACAATTCAGTGCACAGTCATCACTGTAACCTACCTGGCAAAATTCTGGCTGAACATCCAACTATTTGGCTAGCATAGAGCAGAAAAGAAGGCTTTTGATACTGCAAATTGGATTTAAATCAGATATAGTTTATAAAGCTTTCAAATGCCAAGTTTATTCACCAGGTGTTCAATGTCAACCCATGTTTTTAGTACCTTCCATCACAAGGTTTATTTTTCATATAAAATAATCTCCCATACAACATTCCATGTGTTAAGAGGAAGAAATGAACATCTGTGCACGCAATTTCAAAACAGCAGATTATGTCACCAGCATATTCAGCACAGCACCAACAGAGCCGCATTTAAATACCTCAGCTGGCTGTGCTGGTCAGATGGAGAACAGCAGCTCTGAAGCACTGCACTTGTACATAATAAAACCAACCCTATTAAATGGTAGTGGTCTGCACTGACAGCATCACCTGAAGGTGAAAAGCAAAGCAAAGAGGGAGAGATTTAAAGATGGGAGTTGTACAAGTAGGGATAAAAAAAACACCAGGAAAAACTGAGAACTATAGTCCAGTAGAAGCAGACACTTTCACAGTCAAGCTGTGGTGCCTTGAAAGAAATCCCCATTGCAAAAGACAAAGATCAAAGCCACAGAACTACAGTGTGGCAATAGGCTTGAGCACTGGTAATTTCTATAGGGGCTGTCTCAAAGCAGTGTCCAAGGCACCCAAAGGTTGCGTGACAAAGCCCAGACATTGTTTAGAGACATGAGGAAGCTATACGGAGGTAAACACGATACTTAAAAGGGCAAAGGATACACAGGATCTTCTGTGCCACATCATATGAATCACTTAACTCCAGTACCCTTCTCCAGCAATGAAGGATGTCTCAAAAATTGTTGCAGCAAACTCAAAATACCCATTTACGGTAGAACTACCCAAGGGCAGATTTATTCCTAACCCCAGGTACAGACCAAAACAGCTGATGCGCTGGGAACACAACCTTGTGTAAACATCAGTATCTCAGGAAACAATGGCATAAATAACCCATTCCCAAACAGTGTTACTAAAAATAAAAGGAGAATGAAAGGGCTGTTATCTCTGTTAATACGAGCTGTTAATACTAGAGGAGCTCTATACAGCAGCTTGGGGGGCTGACCCCAAAATCTCAATTAATATAATCATACAGTTGGACCCATATCCAAAGTCATTTGCAATGTTTCAAATGTCAAGGTCAAGGGTTTGAGTCTGCTGCTGGGCTCTCCAGAGGCAGAGCTGCCTCATGCAACACAAGGCTGCAGGCTTGGACTTGGAAAGCCTTAATTCAGAGCTGATGCATTACAAAACACTGATACTGAGGAACTTCAGGGAGCTCTTTTTTCCTGAGTTCTTGCTCTGTTTTATAACCAGACATAGTCTGTGGGAAAGCTCATTCTCTGGAAAGTGCTCTCTGATGAGTATCCTTATTCTCCTCAAAGGTGGGAATGGTCTTGGCAACATGGGGTCTATCACCCCTTGTATCCATGTCCATAGTGCTGCCCAGTGAAGGAGCTGAGCTTTGATGCCACAGTCACTATCTGTGAGCACATCAGCCCACTGGCACCAGGGAGAGTGTCTCTGAATACATGAATCTACAGCAGACAGCTGAGGCCATGCAGCACCCTTCAACTGCCAGCAAGTCCTGTATCGATCCATCCCAGGATGGTGCGAGGATAAACCACCCGCTTCATCTTACTCCCCAAGAACCACTGGTTTCTCCATGGTGGCATAACATTATCCCTTTAGTAAATTACTAATCTGCATTGTCAGCCATTTGAGTAATGTAATACTTATACAGACTTCTTGAGTTTCATGCTAAAATTAACAACTGCTGCTGTTCCTGCTGAAAGTAAAGAGTTTGGTCGTTCACTTCAAAGAGCCAGGGTCATACAGGCTGACAAAGTTATTAAGGTAAATAGAAAAAAATAAAGCAAAAAGAAACTAAACCAGGCATCCAGAAGCCATAGCATTATAGAGGGAACTGAGTAGTTACAGAACAAATCCAAACTAAAAATCCACTCCTTAGTATCTACCATATAAGCCTGCATCTATGATTTCTATACTCTTATACTTGACTTTAAAGTCTTTGCTTTACAAGCCAAATCCTAGTTGGTAACCCAAACTTTTCCCCTTCCTCCATCAACACATGCTCACCCAGCAGTGGATCATGACCATACCTGTATTCCTCCTCCTCTTTGGAGTTCTTTTTGGGTTGATATTTCTTCGAAAGATTCCTAAAATGAAAAATACAAGCATGAAAAATTACATTTTATATCTCCTTTAAATTAACTGGGTAACCTTTGCATTTACACACATGCTGCGGGGCTGCAGTTTTTACTGGCAGTGACTAGACACCTTTTCAGAACAATGATTGTAATTAGGCTTTGTGTTGCTGTAGCACTTAACGGGCCACACAGTGCTTCGGTCTCTAACTGCAAAAAGCAGCAGATTCTGAACCCAAGTTCCTAAATTAAGGTCATGAAAATGATACACCCAAGTTCTGGTACTGCTGATGCACAAGTCTCCTTCACCTCATCTAAAGGAGAGACCCTTTCCAGAGAAAACACTGGTCCTTAGCTACACAGACATGCTTTACAAACTCCACCCAGCAGAAGGTGCTCCTCCATATCCCAAGGTCAGCCAGCCCATTAGTGTGATTTGCAGCAGGAGATGACACTCATGGCCAGTCAAATCTGCCCATTTTTAACAGGATGCTTCCAAAGAAAGGAACAACCTTCATAAACCCGTGGGAAGCTGAGATGACGAAAGAGGGATCATTTTATGATCATCAACTGATACTGGGAGAAACATGCAATTTGATTATCACAATTAGCACAGATGATTGCATCTCTTGTTATATTTATAGGCTGCTTCAGCAATTAATAGCAACATACAAGTGGTATTGATGGAATCGTCCAGAGGACGACCGAGTTTCATTGCCCTGCCTGTGCCAAACTCTTTGGAGGACTCCCAGAATGCATCCAGTCAGAAAGAAACTGCTTTTATCAGAGGTGTAACCCACTCCCTAAACTGGAGAACTGCAGGGCCCTGTCTCCCATTTCTTAAGGAATTAAGGAGCATCTGCCCAAACAGCAGTAGCCAGAACACTGGCAGATTTACACAAACATGCCTTTCTCAACATTTAAGCATCCCTACTGGAAGGGATCCAAATGAGCATCTCCTTTCCACTCCCTGCCTTCTCTGAAAAGGGCATCCTCTGAAACAACAGATCCGACTCTAGTTTTACGCACAGAGGCTTCAACAAAACAATACCAGCATGGGAAGAACTCTGCAAACTGTTCTGCATGATTACATTAAGTCTTACAGCAGTCTTCATATGCCATGGGAATGCCTCCCTCCATACACTTGCTTCCAGAGGAAAGGAAAAAACACTAAAAAAAAAAAAAAGGCACAGACTACACTAATACTGCATTTTCACACACACTCAAAAGGCTCATCTCCCTGCACTGCCATGCTGCCCAATTAATTCTGACAGACACAGCTACTGTCATCTTGTGACTCTTTAAAGGGATAGAAATGGGACAAAACAAATCAGAATGATTTCACAGAAAAAAATACCCTGAAAGCAACAAGAATTGGTATCTGGGTGAAACATTATTATTTTCCAAGTACTTTGTAAAACGTAAGACATAGAGTCTATATATACGAGTTTGTCAATTCCCCCCTTTATTCCCTTATATATAAGCAACTGTATTATTTCTTTGACATCTTGCTCTTTGTCTATCATTTCTCATCCATCAGAGGTTCCCGATTCTCAGATTATCCTGATATCTTACACATTCTTTTCCCAACACGTCTTCCTCAAAGCTATCTATCCATCACAACCAGGGCTGATTCCAAATGGTACAAGCAAGACATGACAGAGCAGCAGGCACAATGCATAAGGGATGGGATACCTGGGAGTTTCTTCCACTGTAATCAGGTAAATTTGATGCATCATGTAATAATATAGATCTAACTCAAGACTTTCAAAAGTCAATACTGCATATATATCTGTGGAATTATAAAGGGAAGGAACAAAACATCTTTAATTGGAAGCCAACTAAACTTCAGCAGATGATCAGGTGGAGATGCAGACAGGAAGAACAGCTACTTAGGAAGCCCAGACACCAAACACAAGTTTCACAGAAGAAAATAAAGTTCAGCAGCTTTATTTACACTGTAAATAACACAAGATATTCCTATGGACTTAGTCTTATCCTTTTTAATAATAATATGTCTGCATGTTATGACATGCTGTGATATGCTGCAGCCCTTTGACACCAAACAGATGCCATACAAGAAAGGTTTGCACCAGGCTTGAGGACACTTATCAAAAGCAGATGCACGATATTTTTGTTTTTAATGTCCAGCACTGTTTTATCTCAAAATTTGACAGGTCTACATTTTTGTTCTTTTCTTTTATACCTCCAGCTTCTTCGTTGACTCCAAACAGCACTGGACTTAAGAGCTCTCCAGGGATGAATTATTTAACATCAAATCATACCTTGGGTGGTGACAAATGCAGCTATGTGTGGGGAATTAAAACTATAGAGAGGAGAAACAAACCAACCAAGTTTGGTTTGGAAGTCTAGGACTGAATAAGAAATAAAAATCGGGAGTTCAGAGTTTCTAGACAGGCCTAGGTACAGCTATCAGGTAAAAACCATTGTTTTGAGTGCTTACTTTCATAACTATGCTCTTTACACCTGAGATTTGTCAATCCTAAGAAATTCAGTGAGTATAGTGTGTGATTCTTCCTGAACAGGCCTCCTCCCACAGATACTTGCTGGCACTTCCCAGTCCAGTCATATTCTCTTTCTTCCAGCTTATTTTGCCTCTGTAATTCAATCTCATCTCCATAGGATGTGAGCAATTTGCTCCTGCACAAGTCATCTTCTATTTCCTGCCTGTCTATAGCAGAAACCCTGGGGAATCCTTGTGGCATTCCCCTGAGAAAGCACATAACCATAAAGGCAGGGCATTATCAACTATGAGCTGCTTGTAAATAACAGACTATTGTGCATCTCATATCCATTCTTACACAAGCATCAAAAACTCTGGGTGATTTGTCTTTCTTATAGACACCGTGGTTTAGATATATATAGAATCACAGAATAGTTAGGGTTGGAAACGACCTTAATATCATCTAGTTCCAACCCCCCTGCCATGGGCAGGGACACCTCACACTAAACCATGCCACCCAAGGCTATGGAATCATAGAATAGTTAGGGTTGGAAAGGACCTTAAAATCAGCTAGAACCTCAGCTCCCAATCTCTGTAAATACAGACAAGATAGAAGGATCACTAATATGCATTATCATCATTAAAAAGGCATTATGAAGAAAAAAAAGGTATGGATTTACTGGAGGGGTTAGGAAGGATAAATCCTGTACTCCCCTCCTCAGTTAGCTCCACTACAGCCAGTTTATCACCGTGGACACTAGTGGCTGCCGACAATATTGCAACCACAGCTTCTGGCAGCAGCAGGGCTGCCTGTGTGTTGTACTCCCTTCTAACCTCTAAATTACCTCTCATTTCTTTTGCCCTACTGGGAAAAGCAGGGTAAGAGCTCTCCTTGTGGGAGAGTTCTTGGTACCCCTTACCCAGTTACACTGGATCCGACTTCTGGTAATGTGTTCTATGGATCTGGTTCACATAAGATCTCCTCTACCTACAACCTGATAGGCAAACCAGACACCTAGAAAGCATGCAGCAGGAATTTCCAGTAATTTGGCTCCTTGACATAAATTCACAGGATCTCTGCTCAGGAAACACATTGCAAGAACAGTGGCAAGATTACAGAAGTCAAAATTCAAACCTCAGGCTGCGACCTGGCTGACTACATGGATAAGTTTCCAAGGCCTCAGACTGACTTTCTGACCTGCAGTTTCTCCAACATGCATTAAAAGAGCCTGTCTTTTGAAAAGAAACCCTAAACGTTGCCTTCCAACAAATGATCATTATACTTTTGATTTCTCAAAGCCTGCAGCATTTACACACAGCAGTCCCAATTTCATGGAAAACATTACAATGCTATCCTCAATGCCTGAGCCATTAATCATGCAGAACTTGTGAGTAAATCCTAGTATGCTACTCAGTCACCTAAATAACCTTTCTTGTTGCAAAGCATATGATTTTTAGCTGAGATAACAAAACAGCATCTTAACTTTAGCTTTCCATTCTCTAAATTAAGGCTAATAGCTAAAAGCCATTATTATAAACCAAACTGCCCCCACTGAAATAGCAAACTTACAGATGATTACAGGCTCTGAAGAGATGCAATTTCAAGTCCCAAACTTTACATCTCAACTTACCTAAGCTGCTTTGCATAGCTGAGTTCAATCTCTGTTCTTTCTTTCACAAACTTGATGAACTTTTCCAGCACATCAATACCCCACTGCGTGTGTTTTTCTAAGTTGTCAAACTGGTCCTGCAATGAATCAAACAAAATAGTTTAGTCTCGTTGCACACAGAGATAACTAAAAATAATTTCTGAAGGACAGATCACCAAAGAAAGTGTTATTAATATTTTCCATTACCACAGACGGACATTTCTGTGGCAACATAGGTTTTTAATCAACAGAAACCTGTCTTTTAACATGAAACCCACTCAGTAACATTCTTCATTCCTCATTTCTGAATCACTTTCATTTCAGAAGTCCTGGCAACTTGACTGAACACAATCTTCTAGTACAAAGACATACATCAACAAAGGATAAGGATAAATGCTCCTGCCAGTATTTTGCTTTACTCTGAAGAACTGACAGAAGTCCCATGAATTTGGCTTCTTCTACTAGCTAATAATTCTGATTTTTGCCTGAAAAAGATACAGATTTGGACTCCAGCTCTGTGCATGTTATATATTTAAAATATTCAGAACAGCTAACAATCCTTTTACAGACTTTTTATAGCCTGATTTGGTCTAAAACAGAAGACATGCTAACAAATGATGCCACAAAAATGACATTAGCGATGTTTACAGCGAGTTTGCCTGTCTCCCACCATTATTATACAGATGCTGCTTTGTTCTTCAAATATTGTTGCCCTCAGAAACGGTCACACATGTTTTCAATAAAACCTTTTTCAACCAAGAACATTCCACAAGTCAGTCTGGGATTTGCGAATGCCAAGAGAAATTAAGCAACTCTAAATCCAAATTAATTACCCAAGCCAGCTTATCTCAATCTGCAGATTTAACCCAAAATTACTTGCTTCCTTATGATTTGGTTACTTCAATAACAACTCAGATTCCATAACCATCCAACCCACATGTCATTTCAGAAGTTGGAGTTTCTACAACACTTGAGAAGTAGTTTTTGAACTGATACACTGAATACTCATCCTGACAGAAACATAGCATAAACAAGGTCTTTAATATCAGACTGACTTATCTGGTAGCCTTTTGCATTATAGTTCATAGGGAAAACACAGAATGAGCTCGTACATCTGCAGTACAAGGGCTCGGTTTACAACATTCTCCAATAGATTTGGGTCAGATGCTTTGCTGCCATAAGCTCCTGACAGAAGTGATGCTTCTTTCTGTCTGCCCAAAGTCTGGTCTTGTGACTTGCAGTCTGCAGAGCTATCATCGGATGTTATCTAAGCCGTGCAAACCCACTTCCTTAGATGAACAGAACGGAAAAGTAACAGAAAACTACTACAAAGCCTAATTTATTAATATATTGCTTCTAAGCAAATACCACTTTGTGCTCTGCAGCATATCTGGCTCTGAGGGTAAGTCACACCAGCAACAGGAGAGATTCTTCCAGTACTGAGCAGCTGTGTGCACAGAAGCTGCTAGTGGCTAACAAAACTGCTTTAAGTGTGTTAAGGGGCAAAACAGAAACTGTGTTAGAGAAGGAAATTTGCAAAACCCTGGCAAGAAGCAAGTTAAACCAGCAGGTAATATGCATGGAATAGGACACAGGGTTCGGGGATCTGAGTGTTTATTCTGGTTTAGCATAAGGTACTCTTTAACCCAATTCAGCCAAACCAGACCAGGCTTCAATTTAAATGATGTCAGTTTTAGTCAATTAAAGAGGCACTTGGGGCAGAACAGCAGAAGGGCAACAGTCTAAAGTTACCAAAAATAGTAAAGAACTTCTCCAGGAACTAAGAAAAAGTGGAAAAGGGTAACTGGATCAAAAAAAGAAAATATTCGAACTACCCAAAAGCCTGACTTCCAGCAATAGAAATCACCCTTAAACCCATATAACATCATTAGCTCAAAAAGAGGATGCACATATTCTGCAGAAAGGGAAGATGTGAACTAAGCCAGCACGTATTTACATATAGGTAAATCCTTATTTCAGACAATTTCACAGCTGGGCAGAATACAAAGATGACAAGAGGAACATCATGGACCTGTCCTTTCCTGGAGGGCTCAGATCAGGAGAGAACACTGTGTGCTGTCTGTGCCAGCAGAGAGGCACCTTCTGCTCTCCTTCAAACATACCACTTCTACCTCTCTCAGATTATGCTGGCGTCAAGAAAGCAGTGCAAACATGGCCTCATGAAAGTCGCTGATAAGGAGGTATTGCAGCTATCCCACACCCTGCTCTTCCAACCATTTACATTATTTAACATAAGCATAGGTATATAAAATCAGTCCCCCCACGAGGCAGGCCATTACTCACAAGTTTGCATGCGTTCACACACACTCCCACCTTTGAGAAGGGAAATCTCAGGGAGGGAAATCCACTCCCTAATCCCTGTAAGCAAATTAAACCGCCTTCATCAGATAAACCATACTCGTAGCAAGAAACTCACTTTAAGTCCTGCTGTAACCCCATCTAAAGAGGAAAGGTCACGGTTTCCCATAGGAAAGAATGTCTTCCAAGGAGATCCTACCTTTCCAGACAACTCAGACTGCCGACCACAGAAAGATGGAGCAGGCTCACCCTGGAAAGGCAATCTTAGCAGTGGCTTGTCCAAACCTCCCCCCACACACACACACCATCCCCATCACCCTGACTCAGTTCTCAGAGCATCATTTAGATCAGAGTATGAATAAAAACCTGAAAATGGCTCCAGGTAGCTGCCTCGGTTTGGTGTGTTCTCCCATAGATGGATCTGCTGGAGTGTTTCAGTGGCCTCCCTACGTCAAGTTTGGCAAAAGAAAACTCCATGATGGGCAGTGCAAAGGCAAATGCTCAAGGCTGCGGCTGTCAGGCAGACCAAAAGCGTGAAGAGGCTGACTTTCTATTTATGAAGTGAGCAGAGACACTTGTCCTGCCTCAAGCTGTAATCAGAAGAACCTTAACTGTATAAATCACAGAATCATAGAATAGTTAGGGTTGGAAAGGACCTTAAGATCATCCAGTTCTAACCCCCCTGCCACAGGCAGGGACACCTTACGCTAAATCGTATCACCCAAGGCCTCGTCCAACCTGGTCTTGAACACTGCCAGGGATGGAGCATTTACAACCTCCCTGGGCAACCCATTCCAGTGCCTCACCACCCTAACAGGAAAGAATTTCCTCCTTATATCCAATCTAAACTTCCCCTGTTTAAGTTTTAACCCGTTACCCCTTGTCCTGTCACTACAGTCCCTAATGAAGAGTCCCTCCCCAGCATCCCTATAGGTCCCCTTCAGATACTGGAAGGCTGCTCTGAGGTCTCCACGCAGCCTTCTCTTCTCCAGGCTGAACAGCCCCAACTTCCTCAGCCTGTCTCCATACAGGAGGTGCTCCAGGCCCTGATCATCCTCGTGGCCCTTCTCTGGACTTGTTCCAACAGTTTCATGTCCTTTTTATGTTGAGGACACCAGAACTGCACACAATACTCCAGGTGAGGTCTCACAAGAGCAGAGTAGAGGGGCAGGATCACCTCCTTTGACCTGCTGGTCACGCTCCTTTTGATGCAGCCCAGGATACGGTTGCTTTCTGGGCTGCAAGCGCACACTGAAGCCGGCTTATGTTCATTTTCTCATCAACCAACACCCCCAAGTCCTTCTCCGCAGGGCTGCTCTGAATCTCTTCCCTGCCCAACCTGTAGCTGTGCAAGCTACATGACAAGCTTTTTTCTTTAAATTGATTTAGTATTTCCAAAGCTCATTACAAAAATGCATTATCACATGGCATCTCAAGAGTTAAAAAGCCTTAACTATTCTGTGGCAAATCTGGTCTAATTTTAGGATCCTTCGTATTTTCACCTTTCTCCATAACAGACGACCTCCACTCAAAAGATTCCCAAACAACAGTACTAAGCTTCATTTCAGTTTTCACTAAAAACTCAAATCATTTTGTAGCTTAAGAAAAAGCTCTCCACCATAATTAAACAGACCTCATAAGGGGGCAATGTCATCGGGAAATTAGCTAACAGTTTGGTTAACTTAATGAGAAACTTCTCATTCTCAAGCAGTAAAACTCAATGAGGATTTTCAAACAGAGATCAATGAAGGAATTAGTGTCCCTCTGAAGCCAGGAAAAGCTGGTGGCTGGGAAACACCTAACTTCCAAAGAGAAACAAGAGTGCAGCTTTTGAACTATCTTGTCTCCGAAGGAACTTGGCTCTACAACCAGGAGTAGTCTAACGAGAGTTGCACATTGTTTCAGCTCAAAGCATGCCATCCCTGCCTGTGACAGATACAGGTTTAGCAGGTAAAGTGTGCCACCAGTCATGTGGGTTTAGTCATGGGCTGGGAGATGGCTCGAGAGCCTCCATGAGCTGCTGTTTCACTTTTCAATTCCAATATACATACTCTCCTTGTGTTCATTTTTGCAGCCTCCTCACCCTGCCAATTAAGGATAACATTAGGAAACAATGAATTCCACAAGGCTTTAGCATTCCTCAAGAAAAGCAAGAAAACAAGACAGGAAGCATGACAGAGTGTTCAGTGAGAACGCTCCCACCAGACCACAGTGAGGGGTGGAAACAAAAGGTCACTTTGCACCTGTTTTCTCTGAAAAACAACCACCAAAACATGCTCAAGAGCAGTTACTGCTCACCTCTGACTCAACACGCTGGCTTAATAAGAACTAAGAACACTCTTGAGCGAAACACAGCACTGACCACAAGCCATGTATCGCACAGGCTACTCCCACAGCTTCACATTACTGCCTACATCCTCTGGCCCTCCAACCTGCCAAATCTCATGTTCTCCCATTTTCACATCCCTATAATATCAACAGATTAAGCAGCACAGACTTTGGATTGTCAATCAAGATGTGCACATAATTAAACTGCTCATACAGCTGTAACTTACTCCTCTTCATCAGATTCCACTGGCTTCCCAATGAGAGCAACACGTGCCAGTACAAACACTTCAAGCCATCCGCAAGTGATGGAGGAGTTTGAACCTACCAGACCTCACATGGGTGGGAAAGCAGAGCCTCTGCCACAAGTCATGTGCAACAGCGTCTTCACATTTGTTCAAAGCTTAACACATTCTTGGCTGTACACACAAAAACTGAGGCTCAAAAGAAGAACTTAAGTCATTAACTTGAATGGGAATTGGCCATCCAGGTACCCAGAATGCTCTGGCAGTTGTATCTCCAAGGCAAAGCCTGTTTCCAGCTTCATTTCTGTTGCCCAAATAACCTCACATTCACGGATTCTTTCTGAAACTGGGCTGCATGCTTGTTACACTGACAATGCTTAAAATGGAAATAGTGCTGCCCATTTGCTTTCCTTCATTTGAACGGCTACTTTAAGCTGTCAAATCCCCTCACTTCTTAACTGTTCTACTGAAGTCACATCCCCCAGCTATGCAAAGTATTTTGGGAAGAAGAAACCAAGCCACTAAAGCTTTCTTCCCATTTCTAAGTCACATAACATGGAGTACAAGCAATTATTGAGCAATAAAGAAAGTGTTATTCGTGTGGCCTTTGAAGATCAGCTCAGTGAGAGATTCCTTCCTCTTTCAAGGGTGTTCCCATTTATTGTGAAATAGTTCCACACAAGGCTGGTTCACATCTAAATGACCTCAGTGGGGATGGGACCTTTCTTTCCCACCAAGGGGCTTCAGTGTTAACATTACTGAAATAAAGGGGGTGTCCTCACTCTTCTCTTGAATTATAGCCTCAGTTTCTGCAGCCAGACAGCACTCGCTCGGGGTCACTGTCGTCCTGTGCTCAGTAACTGCTTTTCAGACAGACAGATGATGTGGATTCCAGCTCCACCACAGAGCTGGGCCAGAAGTCCTGGAATTTCTACTTGGTTTCTAGTGTGAACAAAACATTAGATGCTGGGAGACTTCACTAATTCAATCTGCAGTTTTAATCAGCATGTCAAACCTGCTCAGATTAGACTTACATGGCAGTGTTTACCCTACAGCAACCAGGCTGAACTGTCACCATCACACTGTCACCCTTCCTGCTGTTTTCACAGGTACACGTGCAGGAGTGTGAAATGAGGAATGCTAATACAGAGACAAGTCATGAAGAAAGATCATGATAAAAATTCAGATGCTAATAACAAGGAAAACAAAGCCTTTATATTTAGCATACTCCTGCTATCATTCTAATCCAGCAGCATAATAAAAGTCCAATGACTTAAAGGTGGAGAACATTTGGATACTTTCTACTGCCTCATTCTCCCGGGAGTTTGATTCCGTTTCCTCCCAAAATTACTTGTTTATCCACTGTCCTAAAAACATAAGTAGGAGAAAGGGAATTTAATGCTAATTTCTACCTCTGGTTCATACCTTCTCCTCCCACATCCCACTTATTGGGGTTTTCTTTTTAACACTCTCACCCATTTCCATAAGCAAAAGAATTAAAGTGAAGATCAAGAATACATCACAGTGTTCAAAGTCTAATTTTGGATTCCATGGTTTAACAACTTCTAATTATAAGAATAATTAACAAGACGATGAGACCTTCACAGCCTTGGTGAAGTCCCATATGGCACCCCAGTGCTAGCAGAGCACAACAGAATTCAGATCATCCATCCTCAGAGACCTACAATAAAGCTATATGCAAATGGTAAGTCTCCAGGCAAATTAATAATGAAATAAAATGCATGAAATACAGCCAACCACTGCAAGAGCCTTCCAGAAAACAGAGACGAGCAGGAAAAGGAAAGCACTTTAGCCTCTGCTGACCCAGCCACGACTGATGAGAGACGACTTCCCACACAAAACTGGTAGGCCATGGTCAGCGAAATCCTCAGTTAATGACAACTAAACCACCCATGTTTAACCATGCAAAGTATGTTATGCATGAAATAGAATAGAGGACACTAACCTTTTGCTTCATGCAGCACAGACACAGAGGACTAATAGTACCACAGAAGACACACCGATGGGACAGGGAGACCATCTCCTTTCAGTCTGCATTCAAATGATGCTGTGGCTTCACAGGTTGTTTTCTGAATCTACCCTTCACTACCCTGGTGTATCCGGTTCTCACTTACAAAACTATGATCACATACCATTTTTCATGCAGATCTCCCATCCATCCACATGTGTGTCCTGGGCTCATTTCGTTTTAACCTTTAAGTACCAAAATTCTTCCTGATCTTTCACCCTAAACAGGGATATTTCTGCTTTAGCTGAGTAGAAAATGCCCCAGGAAAAAAAATCATCCATTTACTTTCCCACCTCCATTCTCTCTTTATTGCTATCTCTTAAACTCATTTTTCCATAAAGCCCAAAAGGTTTTTAAATGTCTCTTCTGATTCACCTCAGAACTTGATTTAGTTAGGAGAAAACAGAAACAAAAAAAAAAAAGGTTTTGTGCTGCATCTTTAGACAAGCGAGTGCATTTCAAACTTGAAGGGAAGGGAAATCCCAGAAATCAAGAGTGGAAACAGACTACGTTTTCTGTTGAAATATCTTTCACATTGCTAGATAAACTCAGCTCTAATTGTCTTACTTGTTCTAATAAATATTAGGAATTAAGCAGTTTCTGGTCTATATTTCAGCCTTGAAATGCTTACTCTTCAGCATTTGGCTGAAGCTGAAAAGCAAAACAAAGTTCCACTGTTTATGCCAATTTTACTTGGGATTTAAAAATCAAGATGCCCCAGTATAACAGCAAGCAAAGGGTAGCAAGAGGGAGTAACCCTCTTAATTGCTCCGGAGACCAACCACAGTCATCCCCACCCAGAAAATCACCTTCCACAAACTCAAGAGTGACCCCTCCTGCTACTGAAGCAGAAGTGCTGTCTCAGGGACAGGTTTCAGCCATGCCCTGACCCAGCCTTGATGGAAACCAGACTGAAGTCAAACAAGGAGCACTTCTGGAAGAGGCCAGTTGAGTGTATGGCACAGAGACCAGCACTAGGAGAGGAAAATGAACATTACAACCCCACTGAGACAAGAAGCACAACCAGATCGCCAAGGCTGACAACATCTAACAAAAAAAGACCCACCTACTGTAAAAATAAAAAGTAAAGCTGCGTAGGTACATCCCCTACTATCAACAGTGCTGAGCTTGTGCTCACTCTAGTGTACCTTACAACCTCGTTGTAAGGGAAGACGATGCACAACACCAGACTCTACAACAGAGTGGTACGTTACAGGTAGCACAATGAACACCAACGGCAAAGCCAGCTTGTGAGCTTGGAAGGCAAAGGGAGGGGCAGCAACTCCCTCGACAGTAGCACAGAGCATCAAGTGGGCAACACGATGCAGCAGGAGCACAGCCTGAGCACCCAACTCCATGACCCATTTTTAACACCTATTATGGAAGCCTTGCAAAACCAGACACATGGTTCATGGGAGGATGCTTCCCTGTGTGAGTACAACCAGTGTCATCGACTGCCAATACACTCACACACACACACACACCATGTCTCAGTGCCTAGTTCTCTCTGCTGACAGCTCAAACCATGAACTGAAACTACTCCTTCCTGCAACAGCCAGAAGCCTCTGAGTCACTGCTGGCCAGCGGTGGTGCTCCAGGAGCAGCTGGTGCTCCTGCAGGAAACCTGCTCTTGGCTCCAAGAGCTGCTCTCACCACTACAGCTAATAGTCTTCCTCACCGGGGCCCTCTGGATACTGGTGTCAAACCAAGCCTTCTCCTCCCCCTTAAGCCTGTGTATCCTACAAAGGATGTGGTAAAGCAGAACTTGTGGTCCCTCTATAGCAACAGGGTAAGTAACAGTGCTAACACAGCAGCCAGGAAGGAAGGTGAGAGAGAGGATGTGCTATACCAGAGAGGATGCGGTTGCTGGTACTGCAGCAGCTCAAAAAGATGCCACAAGAGGTAAGACAACAGAAGGGAATGATTAATTCTGAGGAGTGGAAAACAGGAGGATGTGAACAACTCAGCTGGAGCAGGATGCAGCTGATGAACAATAGGGAATTAAAAGAATCAGCAGCTGAATCAAAAGATGCTGGAGAGGTAGGGAAGTAAGACTCTCTTTTTGCAGGCAAAAAAAAGCTAAGGGCATGGTTTTCTTGGAACAAGGGAGATTTTGATGTGAAATTATGTAGTCTACATGTCCTGGATGACACACGTGGAAGAACAGAGTCCATCTAGTACAGAGCATTGTAAAGGTGCTCTTTTTTATTCAATTACCTGAAAAGGTCATACAGAGGCACAATCTGCTGCTATCAGTGGGAGATACTTCTAAGAAACTTGTGCTACGTCTCTAGAAAAAGGAAACGTGCATCTGAAAGGTGTCAAAACTTCACGCTTTTGAAAACGAGTGTTAGTTTTCTTCAGATAAGGAAAAGGTAAGGCGCAAAAAACCAGTCTGCAATGTCCAAGGATACTAATGTCCAAGCACACTAATAGATGGCCATGCTGCAGCAGCAATTCATTTCCTTCAAATAAGATTATACATGTTGAGGTTTGAGGCACTGCATGACTTCACCACAATGAGAACCATCTGTCATAAGCAGACCATTCAGAAATGAACACTTCTTTTCAAGCACACAATTCTGCCTATAAAATACACACAAGAAACCCCAGAATGGGACACAGTTTTGTTTCAAAATACACCATAATGTGCAAATTATAACCCAGGATATAAGAAAGCTCTTTAAAAGCAAGACAGTAAGAGAGAAACCTCAACTAATGCCAGATGTAAGGTCAGAAATGCCAAAAACTTATTGAAGGGCTGAATGCATTTCAGCCTTTTTCTGTACATGTTCAGTTCTTTAAGCTGAAGTCAAACATGCACATGCTGCTTCTCCTTTTGGCAATACTAGTCCAATTCAACTGATTGAACATATTCCTACCAAGTATGGGGATAAGCAGCACAATCAAGACCTTAAAATCCAGGCTCGTTCATTAAGCACAGACTCCTAACTACTAAAACATACTGGGACCCAGAGAGATGATGCATTTCTATCATTAGCGCTAATAATAACCACAAAACTCATTTAAAAAAACAAAGCAGCAAAACAAAGCTATGCTAACCTCTTCCTTCTGCTCATCCTGGGGGAGCAGGAATGGGACAAGGATTTGGTTTTGCTGACAATATCCAGAGCTGCAGACTGAAAGCTGCACCAACCCACAGGGATTCGCTGTTCTGTGTGTTGTAAGAGCGAGCCTCGAAAACGAGCAGATTCTGGTGCATTATTGCCCTGCTGCTGGGATAGGATAAATAATGAGCTGCAGCCCAGCCCCAGACCCAAGCTGCCTCCCGTAGGACTTGCAGCATGGTAACAATGCTAAATATATGTTGTTGTTCCAGTAAGGTTTTTCAGTTGACAGTGTTGCAACTTCTCACTGTTCCCCAGCACCATCCCACTTCCCTGATTCAATACACACCCCATTCTTGGACTCTGAAATTATTTGAACAAATGCAATTTTAGAACTAATTCCCAGCAAATCTTTCAGTGCCTGGCTGCATCTCTGGATTAACTGTTGACTGATTTTCATCCTCTTCTCCCATTCAGCAAAGCTCTCCCTTAATAATACCAGCTGTTAAAACAAAGATCAACAAGATCTCTTGCCCACACAGTTTCCCCTTTGGGCAGCTGTGTACTAATAATTAAAAAGGAACCATAGAGTGTCCCTGCTTATTGCATGGATAACTACAACAGGAAAACAAACAAGCCTCTGATCCATTTAGAAGATGACACGCAAAACCAGCAATTCTGCCCTCTTATCCACAGCACTACTGAATTACAGCGGTGGAATCTTATCCACAAGAACAATACTTCAAACCATAGGAGGCTGTGGGAATGTATTTTGGGGAAACTAGCTTTTTGTCCAACTTCTTTGTAAACCAGTGTCATACTGGATTCATCATGTTGAATATCCAGGCTGTTCCAAGCTTTCCCAAAGTTGGGCTTCTTCAGCTTGGAGAAGAGAAGGCTCCTTAAGGGGAGTCCTTAGAGCAGCTCCAAATGCCTAGAAGGGCCAATGGGAAACATGAAGAGGGGCTTTGGACAAAGGCCTGTAGGGACAGGCCAAGGGGAATGGCTTTAACCTGCCAGAGGGGAGACTGAGATGAGCTCTTAGGCAGAAGCTCTTCCCTGTGAGGGTGCTGAGGCGCTGGCACAGGGTGCCCAGAGAAGCTGTGGCTGCCCCATCCCTGGCAGTGTTCAAGGCCAGGTTGGACACAGGGGTTTGGAGCAAGCTGCTCTAGTGGAAGGTGTCCCTGCCCGTGGCAGGGGTTGGAGCTGGAGGAGCTTGAAGGTCCCTTCCAACACAAACCAGGCTGGGATGCTATCAAAGTGCACTTGTTTTGTCATTAGTATCAAACTCTTTCATATACAGCACAGGTCTAAGCACACAGCTGAAGTTTAGGAACTCCTGAATTTCAATCCCATTCTGTTACATTCCCTGGAGAAGTCATATTTACATGAGGTTTTTTTTGCTTGGTTTTGGGGGGATTTAATTCACTTATTTTCATATAAGCACTTAAAAAAAAAAAAAAAAATCAGTATCATTGTTGAAATTTGCAAAACAAGAGCCCTTGATCTCCCTCTACCTAAACGTAACCCACACAGGCTACACTTAAAAACCAAAGTAAAGGTCTCCCAGGTATGCCTGGTATTCTCAATAGCAGAACTTCTCATCTTCTAATCTCCCTTAACTAAATCACCTGTCAGATGTAGAATTGAGCATGTGTAAAATCGCTACAGTGATACTGATGCAAAGATGTATTTATTAAACAGAACAGCCTTTACTCCTCTAATTCATTTTTGACTCCTCCAACTGTGAAGCACTGAAACGCAACCACTAAATTCACTGCAGGCACTGTGCCCCTGCGGGAAGTTTATGCAGACACTTGAAACAGAAAAGCACTGCAAAAAGGCACTTGGCTGGAGGTTGCCTCCCGGAATCACTGCAGCAATGGCAATACCCAG